GGAAACTCAGGATTCCCATTCATGGACCTAGGACTACCCAAGTGCCTCACTCTCTCCTACCTCAATCTCTACCTATTGCAGAAGTACCTGATTCTCTAGCTCTATCTGTTGATTCCTACTTTAAAGCTCGGGCTCCCTCTCACAGATCAGACAACACTTCGGGTCCTAGAGAGAAAAGGTCCACCAGGGTCTTCTGCATCCCCCATCAGGAGCCCATCACACCTGGCACTCTCTGTGTGCCCTTGAGAAGACAGGAGGCCAGAAGGATGGGAGGGTCAGGAGAAGCCATGGGCAAGGGCAGCCTCCAGCTCCACACATGGCCCCTGGGACACTGAGGATTGGCAGGACTTCTTCAACAATGAGGGTAAAAAATCCCACTTCTAATGGAGAGGAGTCCATTTTGCAACCTTCACCAGTAAAGCTGCCCATTTTGAGCTTTTTCCTAAAGAACACAGCAAAATGTGAGAAGAGTTTCAGTGGGGTAAGTGAAGTCAAACTTTTAATCCTGCAGGAGAGCACTCTTTGAAGAAGAGACCTATGTGTAACCTTTTAAAATGCAAGGTGGGGAATAGCATCTGTAGTCAGCTACCATTCCTGTAAAAACAAAAAAGTGGAAGGTGGAACTTGTACATTAAGGGGCTGTGTACATATCTGAAAGAACACACAAGAAACTGGTAACCGTGGGTGCCTCTTGGTATAAAATTAGGAGAAGGGGGTCAGGAAAAGCATGAAGAACTGAATTTTCTCTGTATATTCCTTTGTGCTATTTGAATTCTTTTTCCACATGCATGTTTTTCAAAAAAGTTTTAAGGAGTTCATTTATCCATTCGACAGATACTTATGGAGTGTACAGTGGGTATCGGGCATTGAAAGGATGAGACAAAGTGAAACCAGGAGCATACTGGGACTGGGAGGTGTGCAGGTGAGCCACCTAACTTGTCATCCACACTGGGACCCTGCTGAAGGAGGCAGCACTGCTAACTGAACATCGAGCCAAATGAGACACTGTCCTGAGCAAACCAAGATGTCTCGGTGGCCCAGACAGGAGGTCAGCCACCCACAGTCAGTGCCTGGGGCTGGAAACAAGAGGGTCAGAAGCACTGTGGGAGAGGAGGATGACAACTGAATCAGGGCCGCTTCCTCAACGAAAGGTGGGTAGGATTTAGATCGTAGATTCGGGGGGATGGGGGAGAGATAGGCAGAATATGGACCCCAGGACTGAGGATGTGATGACATGCCATTCCCATGAATACATGACCCATCCGCTCACGCTGCCATAAACAAAAATACTGTGGACTGGGTGTTTTAAACAACAGATATTTATTACTCCAGTCCTGGGGGCTGGAAGTCTGAGATCAGGTGCCAGCATGGTCAGCATCACGTGAAAGCTCTCCTCCTGGCTTGTAGGTGACGTCTTCTTGCTGTAGCCTCACATAGTGGAAAAGAGGGAGCTCATGTGAACTTGGCGGGGGGGGGGGGGGGGGCATAATCATTCAGTCCATTGCATCACCTGACATGACAGAAGGGATTCTGCATATGTAATTAAGGGGACTAATCAGCTGACATTAAGATAGGGAGATTATCCTGGATTATCTGGGTGGGCCCAACACAATCCCTCAAATCCTTTAAAAGGAGACAGAAGATGAAGGCAGAAGAATTCAGAGAGGTTTGAAGCCTAAAAAGGACCACACACGCCACTGCTGGCTTTGCAGATGGAGGAGCCACGTGAGCAGGAATGTGGGTGACCTTTGGGAGCTGAGAGAGCGTCCTTGATTGACAACCAACAAGGAAACATGGGCCTCAGTCCTACAACCACACAGAACTGAATAAGGCCACCACCAAATGAGCTTGGAACAATTCTTCCCCCAAGTGCACAGGTGAGAGCCCAGCCTGGCCAACACCTTGATTTTAGCCCTTGTGAGATAAGACCGGAGCAGAGGACCCAGCTGAGCCCACCCAGATGTCTGACCTGCAGAAGCTGTGAGATCATGAATGGGTATTGTTTTAAGCTGCTCAACTGTGGTAATCTGTCACACAGCAATAGAAAATGAACACAGGGTATTTCCCTTAGAGGGGACCATGTATTATGTGTGTGTGGGGGGTGCAGTCATGAAGGCAAACACCTGCAGGGGCCTCAGCCAAGCAGGCGCAGATGGAGGAAACAACAATGCAGGCTCAAGGAGAGAGGACCACCAAATTCAGCTTGGGAATCAAGGAGGCAGCGTGGAGGGTGGGGCCCAAACCCGTCCCAAGAGCACCCCATTCCCTGTTTCCTGAGCTGTTGCCTGGCAGGAATACAGGCTTAGTGTGACCAAATCATCCAGTTTTTCAAGAGAATCCAGAAATCCAATTTTTATATAAAACATCTTCATTCAAACACCATAAACACTGTACTGCCAAACTTGTACGGACCAAACAACATGCAGATGTGTGTTTTGAGCCAGATGTGACCTTCTAGGACATCAACTGAGTGTAAGTGAAAAGGCAGAAAGAAGGTCCTCAGAGCAGAGCACAAAAGCCCCAAGTATGGACTTTCTTGGGAGGCAGTAGGGAGCCAGGGAAAGTCACCCCCTTCCCTCTCATCCAGAAGAGTCCATGCATGCACTCATATGCATGGAAAACCCACCTGGGCCAGTGACTACACTGGGCATGACCTACTAGGAGCCACCCAACAACCTGATGTCATAAGGGCCACTCACCTCATTTCTGGGTGAGGCAGCTGAGGTGCAGAGTGGTTCAGTAATTCCCTGTGCTTATAACCCAGGGCTCAAAACTATATTTCTGATTCCAAAATCTGAGTCCTCCCAGCTGTTCTACATGGCATCCCAGCACTGAGCAATTTTGTTCCTTTTGAAAAGGGGTTTGCTGTTGTGTTTCCCAAGGTCTGAAGTCTTCTCTCAGATGTGAACCAGATCCCTCTCCTTACTCAAGGCTTTGGCTCTTCCAAGTCCACCTCCTACCAGGGTAGCTACCCATCCCCCACAGCATCTCCCTCACCCACCCACCCCCCACGCCACATCCCAGCCTTTCAGGCGGGATTCCATTCCTACTGCTCACTTGTAGCTCTGTCTCTCTGCCTCCCAGTTCCAAATTCCTGAGAAAGGTATCTCATTGGCACAGGTCATGTTTTTGTTCCAAGTCATAACGGGTCATAAGTCACTGGCCACCCTATGGGATGGGCCTCCCTTTGGCCGATGGCAGCCTAGACGTGACCCTCTGCAGCCCCTCCCTGCCTCACACCCCTCTCCACCTCCAACCCATCTCTGAGCAACCCCTATCTCAAGGCCGGTCCCCAGAGGCTAGGGCCAACTCAGGGAACGAGCTTGGGCAAGCCATTTCCCTAAACACAGCATCCCAAACACCTGCCCGGCTATGCCTGACACCGATAAATATGGCTCTAATGGAGGTGCCTGGACTAGGCAAGGCAAGACTGAAGCCTCTGAGATGCCCACCGCTTGGCTAGGCAGGGGCATTGGCAGGAGCACCACACACATCACTTACCTAATGACCGGGAGAGGAAAGAAACCAGGGAGTGCTCCGTGTCCCCACTCATAAACCCTCAGTAAGGGGCCCTCAGTCCCTTCCCACAAGGCTGAACATGAATTAAACAAAGGCCAGGGTATTTTGTGGGTCTTTGTTTCCCACTGAGAGAAGGAGATGTTGTTAGCAACAAGCCCTCACTCTGCCTTTTTCTGACAGTGGGAACTTAGGATGTCTGCAGAGCCATCTAAATCAGTAACGGCCGGGACAGGTAGGCACGTGATGAGGTCAGAGGACAGGTGCTGAGAGACAGGTAGAGCTTTTTTTTTTTTTTTTAAGATTTTATGTATTTATTTGAGACAGAGAGAATGAGAGAGAGAGAGCACATGAGAGGGGGGAGGGTCAGAGGCAGAAGCAGGCTCCCTGCCGAGCAGGGAGCCCAATGCGGGACTCGATCCCGGGACTCCAGGATCATGACCTGAGCCGAAGGCAGTCGCCCAACCAACTGAGCCACCCAGGCGCCCGAGACAGGTAGAGCTTTAAATCCTCTTTATAAAGCCTGCACTTCGGATGAGGGCAGCAGGTTTTCCAGTGTTACTGAGTTTATATTGACACAAAATAAGCTGCCCATGGGTATATAAAGTATACAATGTGATGTTTTTCCTATATATACACCTGTGAAACCATCAGCACATTCAAGATAATGAATCTGTCTGTCACCCCCAAGCATCCTCGTAGCCATTAATAATCCCCCCAAACCTCCCTGCTCCCCATCCCTGTCTCTTTCTGTCCCCACAGTGTGCATTTCCTAGTATGTTACATAAATAGAACCGCATAGTGTGTACTTGGTTTTCTCTGGTTTCTGCCACTCAGAATAATCTGACATTCGTCCATGCCATTGTATGTACATCAATAATTCATTCCTTTTTATTGCTGAGTAGTATTCCAGGGTATGACAGAGCACCATTGGTTCATCCATTCACCTATTGATGGACATTTGGCTTATTTACGGTCTAGAACTATCACAAATACAACTGCTGTGAACCCACTCACAAACACATTTTTGTACTTGTACATATGCTTCCTTTCCTCCTGGAAAAATACCCAGAATGGAATAGCTGGATCATTTGGTAGGCATGGGTTTTGAGCATGGCTGTTTTAAGGAACCTTCCATGTGGGCTTCAGAGTATAAAGGTATACAAGGTAAAAGTATACATAGATCATATGCGAACAAGTGTCACACACACTTACCCATAGAGGTCACATCAGGCTGCAGCTGGCTTCATTCCCAGCCCTCCCAATGTATGGACAGGTCTTCCAGAAGGGAAAGTCTCCCAGGATGACCCTTGGTTTTGTAAAAGGCTCAGTGCACAAGCCCCTGACAATTCAAAAATGGCCTACAGGATGGGGGGGATTCCAGGAGATCCTTTAAGTCACGGAAACATCTCATTTAAATAATGGCAACATCTCATTGGTCTAGAACAGAATAGTTTCAACCAATACTGAAAGCTGCAGCATGAACTAGGACAGGGGTTCTCCAGGGGTGGTCCCATCAGCATCACCTGGGAACTTGTTAGAAATGCACATTCTCCCCAGCCCAGACCTATGGCACTGAAATCCTGATCTGGGCTTTTACCTGTCTCGCAGGTGCTGTGATGCATGCTCTAGTTTAAGATCCAGTAGCCTAGAACATCTTCCAAGCCCCTGGATTCTCTTAGAATTAAATCTATCTGAAGTCGTGATACACCAAGAGCTCATCCCCTCTATGCCTTGCTCCACCCACATAGCTGTGGAGGCCACCCTCTTAGAGCTCTGTAAATTTAAAATCTCGAAGAACCAAGTTACCAAGTGGAATGCAAACCAACACAATGATGGTTGGCACTTCTTTCCCCAAAGCACAAACAAACAAAATTCTCAGGAACTCAATCATGAAAGCATTTAAATCCAAATGTCAAAACCACCCATTTCTCTATGTGTGGCTATTATAACATACATGAATCTAAAAAAAGAAAAAGACAAAGATTTTAGGTGATACACTCCAACACTCTTTACTGCTCTAGAACCCTCACTGAAAATTAACACATCAGCAGGAAAATTAATCAAACCTGAACAGGAAGAATTTGAGTAAAAATATTGGATATTTTTTGTTTTAATCTTCAGTTTAAGCATGATTTCCGCTCAACATTATAACCGAAGAGAAGTTATGATCATTTCCTTGGTATTTTACATGCTTAAAATTTAGCCCAGTCTTTGAAAACTCTCTCCAGCTTCTGGCCAAGCAGAACTTTGCCGCTCACTTTGAACTTGCCAGCAAGGAAAGCCTTCTGAGGGTTCATTTTGCCCAAAACCAACTCCATGAAGATAGGTTCCGGGATTGTGAAGACAGTGTCTGCTGGAAGCCTGGCGGATCCGGGATACATGTCCCCAGAGCCATTCTTCAGATCAATGGTCCACTGCAGAATGGTCTTCCCATCTTTGGTGATGTCCAGCTGAAAGATGGCATTGACTTTCTTTACCAGTTGGGCCCCCACCTCTTTGATGTGATGGCTAATATCCTCAAACACAGGGAAGCTCTGGAATTCTGACAGCTCTAGAGGGTGTGGCATGGCAGGTTCCCGAGCTGCACCCAGTTCCTTGAACTGGCCTGCCTGAGGTCCATCCACTGCTTTGATCTTGGGTTGATGGTCGATTCTCTTCCACATCTTACTGTGCTGGTCCTCTTGACCTTGCCGTCTGGTTTGTGAGCAGCTGTGGCCAGATTAATATCCACAAGTCAGATTGTGACATCAAAGGTAAGGCCCAAGCAGGGAATGAGGCTGGTGTGTGTGCTGCAGTCTTATTGGCCAAACAGATACTAAAATGTGACATGGAGTGAGGCCTCAGATAGCTAATTGTGAGGCAGATCCACACCACCACCCCCCAAACCAATGAGGGCTGTTGGTCTCACAGGCCCAGAAAGTTCTGGACCCCATGTTGGGAATAAGAGAAAGTGGCCCCAGAAGGTTCTTTGGTGATATGAGCTCTGTCTTTCCAATGCAGACCTCTCCCGGTAACAACCCTAATTCAGAGCAGTTATTCTGATTCCTCAGTGGTGTTTAATCCTTAAGGCACAGATACTGATGCTAGATTTGGCATTACCTAGCTGCTGGTGGAAGGGGAAATGCTTTTAAAGAAAAATGGCTGGTTGGAGAAAGAATCAGTACCGGGATTTGCATCAGAAAGCTTCAGAGGCACAGTGAGAAAACGGGGAAGGGGCGGGGGGAGGAATATCCCTAAGATCAATAGAAGATGCTGCTGGATGTCCACAATAGCCAAACTATGGAAAGAGCCTAGATGTCCATCAACAGATGAATGGATAAAGAAGATGTGGTATATATATACAATGGGATATTATGCAGCCATCAAAAAATGAAATCTTGCCATTTGCAATGACGTGGATGGAACTAGAGGGTATTATGCTAAGCAAAATAAGTCAATCAGAGAAAGACAATTATCATATGATCTCACTGATATGAGGAATTTGAGAAACAAGATGGAGGACCATAGGGGAAGGGAGGGAAAAATGAAACAAGATGAAACCAGAGAGGGAGGCAAACCATAAGAGATTCTTAATCTCAGGAAACAAACTGAGGGTTGCTGGAGAGGTGGGGGGTGGGAGGGATGGGGTGGCTGGGTGGTGGACACTGGGGAGGGTATGTGCTATGGTAAGCGCTGTGAATTGTGTAAGACTGATGAATCACAGACCTGTACCCCTGAAACAAATAATACATTATATGTTAATAAAAAAAAAATAGAAGATGCTGCTGGCCTCAAATGATCATGGCATATAATAACACATCCCTCACTCTGAGCCAAGGCACTGTTGTAGGCATTGCACATGTATTAACACTTTTAATCTTCATTAGAACCCTCTGAGATAGGTACTCTTTTTATTCCCATTTTACAGATGGGGAAACTGAGGCAAAGAGAAATGAAGTGACTTACCCGAAGTCACACAGATAATAAGTAGGGTAGCCAGGTTTAAACAGAGGTAGAATGACTCTAGAACCCATATGTATATATATATATATATATATTCCTTTTATTTTTAAATAATGTCAGATTTACAAAAAGGTTATAAAAACAGTAGAGTTCCTGTATCACCTGCACCCCACTTCCCCAAATGTTAATATTTTACATGGCACAGTACAATGATCTACACCAGGAAAGAAATATGGGTACAATACTATTGTACCCATATTTACAATATTCTACAGATCATACTCAAATTTTGCCAACTGTTCCACTAATGTCCCTTTTCTGGTCCAGAATCCACCTTCTGGTCCAAAGTCCTGCACTGAATTTAGTTTTTATGTCGCCCTAGTGCCCTCTAGTCTGGGAGTTCTTCAGTCTTTGTCTATCATGACCTTGACACTTTTGAATACTGGCTAGTTCCCCTGACCTCATTGGGGTCAGTCTGATGTTTTTTCATGATTGGGTTGAGGTTATGCATTTTGGTCCAAATACCACAAAGATGATCTTATGCCCTTCTCGGTGCATCATATCAGGGGCTACATAGTATCAATGTGTCCCATTACTGGTGATGTTGACCTTGATCAAAGTGTTGTCTATCAGTTTGCTCCACTGTAGTTACTATTTCTCCCTCTGTAATTAGTAACTTATAGGAGATACTGAGACTTTGCCAATATTCTGTTTCATATCATACTTCAGCCCTCTCTTTGCATCCATCAGAGGTTCATCAATGTGATGTGTACCAAATGGCCATTTTCCATCCCCATCACTCGCTTTAGATTTAACGATTGAAATTTTGCTGTAAGAAGAGCTGCTCCTTCTCCCCCATTTTTTTTATTTGTTCAAATATGTCTTTATCTCAGTAGGGACTTGTGGATATTTATTTTATTCTGTGGGTCATAATCTATTATTATCATTAGGTATTTGCTTGCTCAAACTGTCCCAGGTTTGGCCATTGGGAGCTCCATCAAGTGAGTACCTATGCCCTTTCCTAACCATGTTGTTCTTACACACAAGTGAAGCTACATTAAATGGAGTTGCTGGTAGCTTTGTTCTCTCAGGGAAGAATGCAGAAAATTAAAAAAAAAAAAAGATTTGGCATATTTTCTTTGGTACATGATGGATGAGCTGGTATGATCAACATGGAGCAGTTAAACAAAATCCAGTGGCTTCCAAAACCAAGACTTTACCCTGAGGCCACCTGGTATGGACATCTGCATAGAGGATTTTAAATGAAGAGGTGAGCAATCCTCAGTAAGATTGCTGTGAGCCACCAACAGTAAACCGAGCCCCCATCACCACCCATCACCCTTATCTGCTTTTCCTCAGGGCAGGGTTGTTCCTTCTGAATTATTCAGACAGGTCCCCAACTAGGCTGCCACTCCTGCCTCTGCATGTCAGAGGGGAACACAATTCCAAGCCCATATTTGTCCCCTTCATGAGTTCCTATCTTTTATAAATATTTCTACCATTAAAGGAATTCCAGTATGAATGGCCAAGATGCACCTGGAAAGGTGCTCAACATCATGAGTCCCCAAGGACACGCAAATTAAAACTACAGTGAGATACCTCTTCCCACCCACTAAAATCATGAATATTGGAAAGACTGACAATGGCAAGCGTTGTCAAGGCTGTGGAGCAACTGGGGCTCCTGCGCAGGGTTGGTGGGAGTGCACACACTGCTGCTGCTATGGAAGACTGCTTGGTAGGTTGGTAAAAGTCCAACATACACTCAGCACACAACCTATAGATTCTCCTCTTTCATTTCTCCTCAGAGAAATGAAAACACGTCTACAGAAGGACATAGAATGAGTGTTCCCAGAAGCATCGTCCATTAAAGCAAAACACTAGGAGACAATCCAAATCTTTTATGTCCTTCATCTTCTGTTCGTCAACAGAAGATCAGATAAGCAAAATGGCATAATTATAGAATGGAATACTACTTGGCAACAAAAAGGAACAATCTCTTGATTCACTCCACAACACAGATGAACCTCAGATGCATTATGCTGAGAGGAAGAAGCCAGATTCAAAGGATGACATATTATATGATTCTATTCATACAGCATTCTAAAAATGGCAAAACTGCAAAAAGAAAAAAGAAATGACCAGTGCATTAGGGGAAGAAAGTGAGTTTGTCTATAAAGGGACACAAAGAATTTCTTTTTGGTGGGGGTGGGGGACAGTGATTGAACTTTTCTTGATTGTGCTTGTGGTTACACAATTGTATGTATTTGTCAAAATCCAGAACTGTATACTAAAAGGGATGCATTTAAGTATGTAAATTATACCTCAATAAGCCTGACTTTAAAAACAAAAAGAGGCACGGACAGATCCACATTGCCACTGGTATGAGCTCTGTCTAAAGTAGAGGCACAAGCCAAAACTGGAACACTGGATCCTTTTTTTTTTTTTTTAGTTCCTATATCTGTCAGTTGCTATTATTACACTATGATGCATAATTTTAACTTCTTATTAATTCTTGTATCAGTTAACTCTTGCTATATTATGTGGCAAAACAAACAACCTCAAAATTTTAGAAGCATATAACATTAAATGGTTATTTCTCACATGTCTTTTGGGTGGCTGGGGTCTGCTGCTCTGGGCTGAGATGGGCTTGGCTGCTCTTCTAGACACACGTGTCTCTCACCTTCTGTCTGCAACCAATGGGCCAGCCAGGCATGTCCCTCCTGTGGTAACGGCAGAAGTACAAGGTCAGCAAGTAGAAAGGCCCAGGCTCGGCCCTGGCTCAATGCCATTCCTGCCCATGGACCAGCAGCAAAAGCAACTCTCAGACCCAGGTGCAAAGTACAAGGTTGTGGAGGCACACTGTACCCATGAAGGGGCCATGACAGGGCAAGGGGCAGGGAGAAGAGAAAAACAGACCAGCAATGCAATCTGCCACAGCTACTGACACACAAAAGGAGAGATTTCACATTTTAAGATCCAGATTTGTGGCTTTTCTTATTCATGGAAGGATCCATAACCTTGGATCCACATCTTTATCTGGCAATAATTAGCCAGCACTGAAGAAGGAAAGGCAGCTCACTTCAGGCAGGAAGGGCTCCCCACAACTCACTGTCATCATTGTCATCAGGACGACCCCTTTCTAAAGGTCAGGTGTTCTGAGGAAATGTTCCAGAATTCCTGAGATTTTTTCCTCACTAAATTTCATCAAAAGTTCTACAAGAATTTGGACAATGTGAGAATTCAGGGGTCATCAGGTTTGCCACTATATCCATCCCCTCAACATATTTGCTGCACACTGACTGTGGAAAGCCCTGGGCTGGTACTGTTAGGAATACACACAGATGGAAGACAGGGGCTGGCGAGGCTGTGAAGAGATCCGAACCCTGTGTACTGCTGGTGGGGATGGAGAATGGCGCAGCACTATAGGAAACAGTATGGCGGCTCCTCAGAAAATTAACCATAGAATTACTATATGATCCAGGGTTCCACTCCTGGTACATAGGTGAAAGCAGGCACTTTACAGATATTAGTACATTCATGTTCATAGCAACATTCTTCACAACAGCCAAGAGATGGAAACAACTCAAGCGTCCATTGACGTATGAATGGATAAACAAAATATGGTATAAAATGAGCAAAGGAAAAAAGAGACCAATCAAGAAACAGACTCTTAACTATAGAGAACAAATTGATGGTAACCAGAGGGTAGGTGGGTGGGGGGATGGGGGAAATAGGTGATGGGGACTAAGGAATGCACTTGTCATTGTGAGTACTGAGTGATACATAGACTTGTTGAATTACTATATTGTACACCTGAAACTAATATAACACTGTATGTTAACTATCTTGGAATTAAATTCTTTAAAATGAGAAAAAATAATAAAAACACATATCTTTTCAAAAATGTGATAGACACATGATGGAATATTATTCAGTCTTAGAAAGGAATGAAATTCCTACACACGCTACAACTTGGAAGAAACTTGAAGACACTATGCTAAGTGAAATCAGCTAGACACAAAAGACAAGTGGTGTATCATTCCACTTATATTAAGTACCTAGAATAGTCAAATCCACAGAAACGGAAAAAAAGAACAGTGGTTCTTCCTGAAAGGAGGAAAGAAAAGGAGAATTCCTGTTTAATGGGCACATCGTTTCAGTATAGGAAGATAAAAAAGTTTTCTCTCTCTTTTTTTAAGATTTATTTATTTATTTTAGAGACAGAGGGAGTGTGCGGGAGGGGCAGAGGGAGAGAATCTTCAAGCAGACTCCCCATGGAGCGCAGAGCCCAACGCAGAGCTTGATCCCAGGACCCATGAGAGCACGACCTATGAGATCACAACCTGAGCTGAAACCAAGAGTCAGATGCTTAACCGACTGAGCCACCCAGGTGCCCCAGAAGATAAAAAGTTCTAAAGATGAATGGTGGTGATGGTTGCAGAACAATGTGAATGTACTTAATGCCACCTAACTGCACACTTAAAAATGGGCAAAATGGTAAATTTTATGTCATGTATTTTTTACCACAAGAAAAAAAGAATACACAAAGAAAAATAAATATGTCCAAAAAGCAGTTTAGCTTAGGAGAGAAAAACATACATATACATATCTAATATATAATGCAAACTATTACAAGTGCCACAAGAAAGATACATGTGGTGGTCTTACAATATGTTCACACAGTCTGAAGGCATTGTGGCTTCCTATCTGCTCTCCCTGGAACTGCTCACTCTAGGTGAAATCACCTGCCA